CTATTCTGACAGTACAACTACTCTGACCACTGAGGCCCTCACCACTACCCAAGGGACATCAGCTGCTGCCACGACTTACCCAGGGACTTCATCCACAGCCACATCTTACCCTGGCACCACCTTCACCAGCCCCAAACCTCACAGTACCACAGAGAATGGCATTCCAACGACTGTGAGCACCCCGGCTGTCACCTGGAGCCAAAGGTCAACAGCAACTGCCATGACTTCTCCAGCTACCCAAACCACAGCCACATCGTTGCCTGGCACCACTTCCACAAGCCACACAATTCACAGTACCACTGATTCTACCAGAACGACAACTCTGACCACGGAGGCGCTCACCACTACCCAAGGGACAACAGTAGCCACCACTACTTCCCCAGGCACCTCAAGCACAGTCGCATTGTTGCCTGGTACCACTTCCACCAGCTCCACCTCTCAGAGTACCACAGCGCCTGCCTTTACGACGACTGTGAGCACACAATCTGTCACCCCTAGCCAAGGGACGACAGAAGCTGCCACTATTTCCCCAAGGACCTCAACCACAGCCACATCTTCCCCTGCCACCACCTTCACCAGCCCCAAACCTGAGAGTACCACTGAGCCTGGCATTACGACGACTGTGAACACACAATCTGTCACCCCTAGCCAAGGGACAACAGCAGCTCCCACTACTTCCCCAGGGACCTCAACCACAGCCACATCTTCCCCTGGCAACACCTTTACCAGCTCCACCTCTCAGAGTACCACAGAGGTTGGCATTACGACCACTGTGAGCACCCAGGCTGTCACCTGGAGCGAAAAGACAACAACAGCTGCCATGACTTCTCCAGGAATCCAAACCATAGCCACTCCGTCACCTGGCAAAACCTCCACCAGCCACATACTTCAGAGTACCACTGATTCTGACAGAATGACAACTCTGACCACTGAGGCTCTCACTACTACCCAAGGGACAACAGTAGGTGCCACTATTTCCCCAGGGACCTCAACCACAGCCGCACTGTTGCCTGGTACCACCTCCACCAGCCCCACACCTCAGAGTACCACAAAGGCTGACATTACAACAACTGTGAGCACACAATCTTTCACCCCTATAAAAGGGACAACCAAAGCTGCCACTACTTCCCCAGGGACCTCAACCACAGCCACATCCTCCTCTGGCACCACCTTCACCAGCCCCACACCTCACAGTACCACAGACGCTGGCATTACAACCACTGTGAGCACCCAGTCTGTCACCTGGAGCCAAAGGACAACAGAAGCTGCCACTACTTCCCCAGGGACCTCAACCACAGCCACATCTTCCCCTGACTCCACCTTCACTAGCTCCACCTCTCAGAGTACCCCCTATTCTGACAGTACAACCACTCTGACCACTGAGGCTGTCACGACTACCCAAGGGACAACAGAAGCTTCCACTCTTTCCCCAGGGACCTCAACCACAGCCACATCTTCCCCTGCCTCCACCTTCACTAGCTCCACCTCTCAGAGTACCCCCTGTTCTGACAGTACAACCACTCTGACCACTGAGGCTGTCACGACTACCCAAGGGACAACAGAAGCTGCCACTACATCCCCAGGGACCTCAACCACAGCCACATCCTCCCCTGGCACCACCTTCACCAGCCCCACACCTCATAGTACCACAGACGCTGGCATTACAACCACTGTGAGCACCCAGTCTGTCACCTGGAGCCAAAGGACAACAGAAGCTGCCACTACTTCCCCAGGGGCCTCAACCACAGCCACATTGTCACCTGGCATCACCTTCACCAGCCCCACACCTCAGAGTACCACTGATTCTGACAGTACAACAGCTCTAACCACTGAGACACCCACCACTACCCAAGGGACAACAACAGCTGCAATTACTTCCCCAGGGACCCAAACCACAGCCACATCTTCCTCTGGCACCACGTCCACCAGCCCCACACCTCAGAGTACCACAGAGCCAGTTATTTCGACGACTGTAAGCACACAATCTATCACCCTTAGCCAAGAGACAACAGCAGGTGCCACTACTTCCCCAGCGACCTCAACCACAGCCACATCTTCCCCTGGCTCCATTTCATCCAGCCCCACAGCTCAGAGTACCAACCAGTCTGACAGCACTACAACTGTGACAACTAACCCTGTCACTGTCACCCCAGGGACAACAGAAGATGCCTCTACTTTCCCAGGGACCTCAGAAATAGCTGCAACTTCCCTTGGCTTCACTTACACCAGTACCACAGATCACAGTACCACTGAGGCCAACAACACAACGTCTCTGACAAGCCAGGCTATCCTTGCTACCCAAGGGACAACAGCAGCTGCCTCTACTTTCCCACGGACCTCAGCAACAGCCACAACTTCCCCTGCCTCCATTTCATCCAGCCCCACAGATCACAGTACCACCCAGTCTGATAGTACTACGACTGTGACAAACGAGCCTATCACCGCTACCAAAGGGACAACAGCAGCTGCTACTACTGTCCCCGGGACCTCACCAACAGCCACAACTTCCCCTGCCTCCACTTCTACCAGCCCCACAGACCAGAGTAACACCCAGTCTGACAACACTACAACTCTGACAACCCAGGCTGTCACTGTTACCCAAGGGACAACAGCAGCTGCTACTACAGTCCCCGGGACCTCAGCCACAGCCCCATTTTCTGCTTCCTCCACTTCTACCGGCCCCACAGACCAGAGTAACACCCAGTCTGACAACACTACAACTGTGACAACCCAGGCTGTCACCACTACTCAAGGGACAATAGCACCTGACATTATTTCCTCAGGCACCTTAGCCACAGCCCCATCTTCCCCTGCCTCCACTTCTACCAGCCCCACAGATCAGAGTACCACCCAGTCTGATAGTCATACAACTGTGACAACCCAGGCTGTCATTGCTACCCCAGGGACAACAGTAGCTGACAGTACTTCCCCAGGGACCTCAACCACAGCCACATCTTCCCCTGGTTCCACCTTCACCAGCCCCACAGATCAGAGTACCACCCAGTCTGATA